TGAATTCCTGTTCTTTCTAACCGTATTCGTGATTCCCCTCGATCCCCTCTATGACCTATAGAAAGGGAAGCCTCAGTGTCCGTAGCTCTATGGCCAAACCCCAGACTGAGATGAACTTTTTAAATTCATTCAGCACCTTTCTTATTCAGAGCCTAGATTTTCTTAGAACCTAAATCTGGCCACAGAGCCAGGATGGCCTATCCCTTCTGAGTTAGACAGACTTTAGCAGTACCAGGGTGGCTGGGAACACAGATGGCTTTTGAGATGCTTCTAAGGCTGGGGTCGTGGGTGCCTTCTCCCAACTACAGGCTATTTGATGTACGACTCTTCATAGCTTTCCTATCAGTGTGGAAATAAAGCTCCTCTTTCTACTGAGATGAGGCTCCGGAGACTGCAAGTTTCCTAATGGCCACATAATTGGGCTGGAAATTCCAATGTTCTGACTCTGAGGCCCATATGTACGACAACCAGGGTTTCTTCATTTTTATTTACAGAAATAATCTATCCTTATCACAAAAGCCTTGAATTATATACAGATATAAAATAGAATTAAATAGCTAACATTTGTTGGGCACTTCCTACCTGGCCTTAAGCCAAGCATTTCTCATTTATTCTTCACAAAACTCTGAGATGTAGGCATTATTATTATTATTGCCATTTCTAGTGGAAGGAACCAAAGTGTAGAGAAGTTGGGATTATTTCTCTTACAACACTGGGCTCATTCTGGGCCTGCCGTGGTCACAGCAGGTGACTTCTCAGCCTCCATCAGGTGGCTGTGCCCGAAGCCCCAGCACTCTATTGCCTTTCAGATGGCGAGCGGCTGCAGCTGCAGGACGAGGAAGATGACAGCCTGTGCCGTATCTGCATGGATGCCGTCATCGACTGCGTCCTGCTCGAATGTGGGCACATGGTCACCTGTACCAAGTGTGGCAAACGCATGAGCGAGTGTCCCATTTGCCGGCAGTATGTGGTACGGGCCGTGCACGTGTTCAAGTCCTGAAGCCGAGCCTCTCCCCAACAGGACACTTGCCCCAAGCTTGAGCCCAGGCATTTCAATGCACAGAAGGGACTGGATACTTAGTGTTCAAAGGCTGAAACTATTTTTAAAAATTATTTTCACTACTAACTGGGGACAGAAAGATCCATCCTAAGTTGCAGCAACTTTGGTCCATGCTGTATGCCTGTCAGCCTGTGGACATGCTCAGTTTCCCAGGTTCCTCCGGGCTTCATCACACATCCACGATCACTAATTACTGAAGTCAGACTGCTTACAACTGCTCTCTTTGGAGGACATTTATCCTGTTCTCTTATTTCTCCTTCATCCTATTTTTAACTTAAACTACTCAGATGTTTGAAACTTCTGTTCTTTGGATGAGATCACTGTCCTCAAGTGGCCGACATGGTTCACACTGAGCAGTGGCCCTTCTGAATGTTCACTTTATTAGTCATGTATATTTAAAATGCTACTATTTGATGAATGTAAGTTTCCACATTGTTTCTATTTCTGCGTTTAAACGTAACTGGGAACAACTGACATTCTATAGTCAACTGCCAGGGCCTTAGACTAAACATGTCCATTCCTGTTCAGGTACAGCTTTTTATAGCAAGGGCTGCATCTAGCTTCTTTCATTAGAAAAGTGTGTGTGTGTTAAATTCTTTATTAATGTGTAATCAGTTTACAATGTTTTGTATAGTGAAAGTGTATTTTCCCGCTAGCTAATTTGAACTTTAGGAATAAAATTAGATTTTAAAATATGCTTTTGTTTACATTGTCCTGGTCAGTTCCTAATTCACTTGGGTACAGCATAAATGAGTTGTCTGTGCCTAATCTCGCTCCCTTCTTAAGAGATGGGAGCACCTTCAAAGATGTTGCAACGATCTACCTTTGCTGCTGACTTACCAGCAAGGTTAACTACTGACTTGCTATTTACCATGACTAGGTTTCATGCTGGGTGCTTGATGGTCACCTCCAGCATCTGAAATAGATACTGTCTTGCTTTGCAAATGGGGAACCTGACCTCTGAGAAGTTAAAGAACTTGTCCAACTCTCAGTTAAAAAGTGGCCTCGTCAGAATTTGAACCTAGCTCCGATGCCAATGATTTTTCCTTAACTCTGCCAATACCACATAGTAAATGAGAAACCTGAGACGTGAGCTTATGCAAAAAGGTCTTGGGGGCCAGCCTGGTGGCACAGTGGTTAAGTTCACGTACTCTGCCTTGGCTGACTGGGGTTTGCTGGTTCTGATCCCAGGCATGGACCTACACACCACTTATCAAGCCATGCTGTGGCAGGCGTCCCACATATAAAATAGAGGAAGATGGGCACAGATGTTAGCTCAGGGCGTCTTCCTCAGCAAAAAGGTGGGTGTTAGCTCAGGGCTAATCTTCCGCAAAAAAAACAAACAAACCAGTTCTTAGGACATGATCTGAAATCTCTTCTATGTCTAACTCTAATCAGGGTGGATTTTGGGGTTGAGTTGAGACAACCTGTGGATTAATTCTCATTGCTAGCAGACAGGTAGGCTTTTCAGAAATGCCTAACTTCTCAGCCGAGTCTGGTTGGGTTTTATCTGTTGACTCTGCAGTGGGTACTTGCTCAGGATCCATGAGTCAATCAACAGACCTGAAAATTATAGCAAGGGAGGCAGAGAGACTGCCCTTGGGCAGAAAGTTTGACTAGTTGTGAAGAAAAACATGCCTTTCTACCTTTTTTGATTTTGAAGGTAGAAGCATGCAAATCAAGGCCTTGTGGGCTATTTTCAAATACCCTTCTCTCCTGTTGCCTGCAGAGCCCAGGGTGGGTGTTGGCCACAATTCATGGTGACCAGCCTGAGCAGACCGTTTCCTCCTATAGAAGCAGGACAAGCGCAGCCCCTGCTGAAGCTTTAGGAGCACTTTCCTTGTCTGTCCTCCTCTAGAGACAGTGAAGGCCCGAATTCAACCTTCCCCACACATCACTAATTTCGTGGAGGGAAGTTTTCAAGTCCAAGCCAGTAGGGGATGCTGAACACACTGAAAGAGAAGCTGAGCAGCACGTGCTGGTTTGTCTAAAGTTAAATTAGAAAACAGATTTATTTGCACATAGTCTCAGCTTGAAACAGCTTGTTTTATGTTTCCTCTTGGATTTATATATTGTTTCAGGTACTTATTTTTAGCAAGAGAATAAAAACTGCTAATGGTGGATCTTTTTAGGTAGCGTTTTAAAGTAACCTTGGTTTAGTCAGAAACCAACCAATTTTTAGCCTAAGAGGCTTGACATTTGGAATAACCAAATTTCAAGGAACTAACTGATTTGGCAGAAGGCATACATTTCTGTCTGGAATCTGCATTTTCTAGGTGGCATGCCATCCCTCTTTAATTTTCTGAATAGGTAATATATGGATAAAATTCTGAAGGTTCACAATGGAATACAGTGACACCTCTGCCCCATCCTCGCAATATGGAAGGACGTCATTTGATGCTTTGGATGTGCTACGGTGTCTTCCTTTGTAAACCTCAGGTTGCCTAGAGGAGGGGGGCTGGAGCTTCTCTTCTTTTCTGGGCTAAAAAGCTGCCATCTAACAGAGGAAGCACTCCCCCTGGTTTATGGTCCTTTCATTACTTTGTCAGATATAGTGTGTGGGCTCAGAGCAGCTGTTTGCAAGCATCTAGCTTAGCCTGGCCTCATCTAAAGCTTATTTAAAAAAAAAAAATAGGTGTGTACAGTCTGTGTACTAGGGTGTAATCTTAACTGGCTTGTTGAGTACACTTCAGGGGAGCTCATCTGTGACCACTGCACTACCCCAGCCTACCTCGAGCCTGGAGAGACACTGTGTCTTGGCTCTGTGGTGTGTCCCTAGGGAAGCTGTGGCTCCCCAGCCCTGGCGGCCCCTCTTTCGCCCCCTCTCTCGGCAGACCTCTATGCTCCCAGAAACGTTACAGGAGAAAGAGGGCCCTCTAACCCCGAGGACTGGTCACCCGGAAACCACTATTACCCTTAAAAACAGTTCCCAAGGAAGAGGATGCCTTTACTGGATGGCAGGGTAACTCTTATTTCGAGGTTCAGAGAACTCCGGCTGCCAAGAGAACCGAAACTTGGCCTCTTGTGGGGGTGCTCCATGATGAACAATCAGGCTTGCAAAGGTAAGCCGCATTTTTATAAATAAACCACAGAGTGTTAAACCAATCTTACTTCTGTTAAGTACATCTCCTGAGTTAAATTCCGAGGTGCAACAGCTTCAGATGTCTCCAGTTTGAGTCAGAAAGGATCTCTGTATCTAAATTAACAGAAAGTACGAACCTAGATGGAATCTCAAACTGTTTCACTATGGCAAAAAAAAAAAAAAGGGATAATATGAAACTACTATTAGCAGGAAAGTCTTGTCCCATGAGACTAAAGTCTTATGTTGCTATTGATTATTGAGGAAGTTGAGTTATCTTCTCCATTTTCAGAGCAGTTGTTTCTGGATATGAGTATGATGCTGCAGGGCCCTGTCCTTAGGAAAATTCTGTGATCTAAAATTATGTCTGTCTGGTTTCTGTCTGCCACCTGGGGAAGTCACCTCATAACCAAGTGCCTCCAGCCACCCCAGGCCAAGGCTACCAAGCACAGGATAGCAATCCTTGAGTTGCCTCCAATGGGAGGTTGAGGAAACGGACCCCCTGCTCCCCTTTGGCAGTGGAAATGCCAAGTGGCCACAGAAGGTATTTTATATAGATGTGGTCAGAGGCACCCAAACAGGGAAGCCACCCTCTCCCTTAAGGCATCTGTACCTGATTCCTACAAGAGGCCATTTGTGTGGCACAGTTCTTTCCCATTACCTTTATTAGCCATGAACCCTAAGATCTCTTTCTGAAGATGGGAAAAAAACATGTACCAAGGGGCTGCTGCATTTCTGAGATGAAGGAGAAATTATAGCTTGTTTGGCTTCACAACAACGTAAACTAGTGTTGAGACTGCGCCTCTGGACTTTCCAAATTTCTAGTCTACTTCTAGAACAGAAACCCTCAAAGTCCAAGAGTCTTTTTTTTGTACAATTGTTTATACAAATTCAACAAAGGTAAAACTGCATCTGGGAAGGTCTCGGAAAACAACACCTTACAACAATGGCACTTATGAAGGCATAACTTTACAACTAGGAAAAAGCCATGTTCTAAACCTTAAATGAGAACTCAACTCACACTTCAAAGGAGAGAAAAAAGGAAAAGAAAGGCTATGTTGGATCATTTATTCTACTTCTTGACTCACTGTATAAATTAGCTGTATGTAGAGTACAAGAGCTCATGCTGGAGCAAAACCCTCCTGAGTGCAAAGGCTGAATTCTGAATTTTAAAATTTTGAGAAAAAGGTAAATTCTATACAGAGGAAACTTGGCAAAGTGTCTTACTTCAACTATAATTTACATATATCCACAACATGCTTATGTAACTTCTTGACATACGAAGCAGGCTCCCAACCGCCAGTTACACATGCTCTTAACTGGAAGGTCTTAGCCTGCTCTGCCAGATCTGGGCACGTGTTAGATGGATTATTTGTTGGTGAAGTACAGGTTAAGTTCTCTCCTACCTTAAGAAAACCAGGAAAGTTGGCAATCTCAAAACAATAAAAACACTGGTATGCATTCAAACCTTGCATAAATAACTTTTAAACAATTTGTACAAAAATAGTTCTGCATAATGTAAGATGTAACAAAACCAAACAAACAAACAAAACAAATATGTCAAGGCGGCAAATGTGGTGTGTGGTCCACTTTATGCTGACACCAAAAACCTCAGAGTTGCAAGGAATGAGGTGTCCAAAACAAAAACACCACCACCAAAAAAACTCCTAAGCTCATGCTTCAGTAAGAGAAATTCTCCAGAGTTCATCCTCCTCTCCGATGGGAATGTCTTCTTGGTAAAGGCCACCTTAGAAATGGTCCAGAAAGCAGTGCAGTTACGATTCAGAAAGACCAAAGGAAAGTGTCCAGCTCACTCATCCCCAAACGGGTGGTGGAACAGCTTCTCCCTCGGCAAGACTTGCAAAATGGAATCGTTCTGTGGTCTGTAGTTCCAAGTTCCAAATTGAAAATAAAAGCCCTAGTTTCTGCAAAGTCTTTCACCCTCCCCTGCCACATCCCCGCCCCCCACCCACCCCGTATTTACATAATTGTCCTTGGACTAACTCAGTTTTTGCAGGAGTTTTTCTTCCACTTGCCCGAACTGGACACTCACAGACATTTCAGCTATGAACTGCTCGCAGCCTTCCTTGGTCACTTGCTTGCAGTACCTTAGGTCAATATGACAGATATTTCCACAGCGTTTGAAGAAGGACAGGCACTGGTCAGTAACCTTATTGCAGTCTGCAGAGAAGAGGAAACAGCATGAGGTGCAGGAAGCACGGAGCCCAAAGGCCCCCCACCCCCACCCCCAGGCACTCAGCAATGGAGAGACCTCTTGCGCATTTACCAGCCCCTGGTGCCCTAAGGAAAACTACTTGCTTCAAAGCTTTCTTCAAATGGGTAATGGTTTCATCTACCAATTATAAAGGTTAATATATGCTCGAAAAGCAGGAATACTGTTCCAAGTGAAATCATTTAGCATCTTACTGCATAGCCGCCTCTTTATATGTATATACTCTCACATCAACAGGTCTCCTGTCTGTGTTGTTTTACAAAGACAGGATCACACGATATGTTAAATTGCTTGCTTTCCCCGTCTAGTATATTGGTGATGAATACCTCTCTATGCACATTATTGTGCATTTATGCATCTGCTTATTCCCTTCAGATAATCCCAGGGGAGAAGGGCTGGGTGGAGTGAAAACATCTGTAAGGTCATCCTGGCATCCTTTTTGCTCACGTGGGCACCAGCACTGTTGAGCAGGGCACAGCATGAAGGCTAGCCCTTTACTGAATGTTCCCCTGAAACTTATGCAGAGGACCAATGTGCTAGAAGGGGCTGGAGAGATTGTCTACAGAGAGCAAAACCAGAATTCAGCATCCTTCATCCTGCCGTCACCTGCAGGCTCACTCTTCAACTGTGTGTTTCTATCAATTTGTCCTTTGCTTTTATCATCATCTTTTCTTTTAGAACTGACTCTACAGTCAACTGGCTTCAATAACAGTTAGCATGCAACTGAGGCTCAGAGCCCCCACTCTGGGCCAGATGAGTAATTCCTTCGCTTCAATGGCATTCAACTTGAGGCCTCTGCGTGTCATCACTAGTATCTGCACTTTCCTTTTATTAAATTAAGTAGGAATAAAAACAGCAAGGGCAGGGGCTGGCCCCGTGGCCGAGTGGTTAAGTTCGCGCGCTCCGCTGCTGGCGGTCCAGTGTTTCGTTAGTTCGAATCCTGGGCGCGGACATGGCACTGCTCATCAGACCACGCTGAGGCAGCGTCCCACATGCCACAACTAGAAGAACCCACAACGAAGAATACGCAACTATGTACCGGGGGGCGTTGGGGAGAAAAAGGAAAAAAAAAATAAAAAAATCTAAAAAAAAAAAAAAAAAAAAAACAGCAAGGGCAAACTGCAAGAACGCAGATAAGGCCTGTGCTAGCTCCATACCATCAAAGTCCCTGCAGGTTAGGAGGTGATATAAGGAAGTCAAGTCATAGCACCACACGAGTCACCAAGGAACTGACTACTTTATGCCAGGAGCTCCTTTGAAACAAGCTCCTCAGGTCAGCACAAAATGTTAGCACAGACACGCGCAGATTTTTGGATGCCCATTTCAGACAGCATAAATACAACCCAATCTCATAAAGGCAGTAGGAATTCATGAATTTGGAAGAAGTGGTGATGGAGGCCTGTCTGCATCACAGGCATTGCCACTAACAAACGAAGCCCAGGCAGTTAGTTGGGAAAAGTGACAAGGATGCTGACAAAGAGATGCTTTGAGGATAAGACCTCAGTTTTTCTAAGAGTATTTCTTAACCTTCTAATTAATCCCTCAAATACTTCCCCACAAATGGCTGATCCTTTTTATAATCTTACTGCAAAAAGTCAAGCGATGAAGGATGTTGTACAATGCTATCATACAATTCAGAAAAATCATGCCCCCCAAAACTCAATACTTGATTCATTCTAAGTGCAAACAGGATAGGGATGATTTTGCTGACATAATAAAATAAACTTACTGCCATATATTTCTGTTTCATTTTCCACTCTTCACTATTACACATAGGCCCTGTACTGAACAGGCCTTTTTCTCGTATCAATTGTCCTTGGATATAGCACGAGTGTTCCAGCACTGGCCATGTGACCATACTCCTCCACAGGCGGCAGCACCGTTTAAGCTGACTGCAGGGAGGTCTAATGTATGCCAAAACTGTCTGCCCCAAGACACCCTGGCTAGGACTCCAGGTCACACTTCACAGGAAGTATTGCCTCAGTGTAAGAGGTAACCGCCAGGACACCCTGGAGGTCCCCTCAGCCACCCAACAGCCACGGGCACGACAGCGCACCAGCTAGATGGTGAGTTCTCCAGGATGGAGGTGCCCGCTCTGGAGCGTGAAGGCACTGAGGGACCTGAGCCGGGTCCTGCTGCAGGGAACTGGGAGAGTGTCTCAGGGCAAGAACAGCCCTGAGCTGGTGACGGAGGCGGGCCTAGAAGCAGGGGAGAGCAGAGGTGGATCTGAGTGGGGAACGAGAGACACTGGGAATTGAACTAAACAGCACTCTCTGGAAGGCAGGTGAGGAGCTTGCAAGGGGAAGGGTAGTAAAGCTGGAAGATTCTGAGGAATGACCTAAAGCAGGCCAGTGGAGGGGCGTGCCAGGAGTCCAGGGTCATTCCGCCACGTGCATATGCCCTGTGAGCACCAGTTCCACTGCTGGGAACACATGCCAAAGATGAGCACAATTATGTCATATCAGCAGGAGACATACAAAGTACATAACCAGCACCTATGAGCTTTTCTTGCCAAAACTGTCTAATCAGAATCCAAGCAAGCTTCTGGACCTAACTGGCAGTTTACAGGAAATACAGGGGATCAAGTACAAGCTAAAGGACACATGGAACCAACAAACAAATCCTGAATGTGAGAAAACATGCTGGGATACTTCAAAAGGTCAACGTCAGGGGGTAGAAAGCCTAGAGGGACTGTTGTAGGATACGAGAAATTACATTTGGTTGTTTTAACTCTTTAATTTTTTCCTTTGGTGTTGACAGTGCTCTCGTAGTTATGTGGGGAAGATGGCCTTATTCTCATGAAATGAGGGCTGAAGTATCTAGAGGTATTCAGGGGTTTAAGTGTCACAATGTTTACAACTTTCAAATGACAGCAAAAGAAAAAAAGGTCCATATAGAGATGAAGCACATGCAGCAGAGGACACAGCTGTTGCGTCTAGCAGGAGGATGTGCGTTCGTTATACCATTCTTCCAATTCTCCTATGTTTGAAAATGTTCGAATTATAAAACTGGTGGTGTGGAGAACATCATGGATAGGCCCATGATGGGTTAGTAAACAAAGACGTTTTTCCTCGTCTGTTTAATAATGAAAAAATAGACGTCCAAAGAAAGGAGAAGAAGGATTAAGAATTACAAATCTGAAACAATGTGGCCTATCAACACAAACTCCTACCTCACAACACAATAAATTCTAGACAGATCAAAGCACTGAATTAAAAAAATGATACTTATGGAAAGGAAGAAGTAAAATTATCTTTGCCAGCAGATGACATCATCTTATGAAATCCTGAAGGTTCCACACACACACACAAAGTAATAAATGAATCCAGCAGAGCTGTAAGATACTAAATCAATACACAAAAATCATTTCCATGTCTAGCAATGAACAATCTGAAAGAAAATTAAGAAAATAATTCCATTTACAACAGCAGCAAAAAGAATAAAATACTTGGGAATAAATTTAATGAAGAAAGTGAAAGATTTGTATACTGAAAACTAAAAAACATTGCTGAAAGAAATTAAAGATCTAAATAAATGAAAAGACATTCCATGTTTATGAAGTGGAAGACTTCATATGGTTAAAATGTCAATACTACCCAGAGCAATCTACATATTCAATGAAACTGCTATAAAGTACCCACAGCGTTATTTGCAGAAATAGAAAAATGCATCCTAAAATTCATGTAGAAATTTAAGGGACCCTGAATTGCCAAAGCAATCTTGAAAAAGAAAAACAAAATTGGAGGACTCATACTTCCTGATTTCAAAACTTACTACAAATTCAGAGTGTTGTTACTGGGATAAGGATAGACATATAGACCCAATGGACTAAAATTGAGAGCCCAGAAATAAACCCTTGAGTGGTCAAATGATTTTTGACACGGTACCAAAACAATTCAGTGGTGAAAGACAGACTTTTCAACAAATGGTGCTGGGAAAAGTGGATATCCACAAGCAAAAGAATGAAGTTGGACCCCTTAAGCTCACACCATATAGAAAAATTAACTAAAAATAATTCAAAGATTTAACATAAATCTGTTAAAGAAAACAGGGAAAAATCTTCATGACCTTGGATTTGTCAATGGTTTCTTAAACTTGACACCAAAAGCACAGGCAAGAAAAGAGGAAAGAGATGGAATTCATCAAAATTAAAAACTTTTGTGCAAAGGACAGCCCAGGGTTTCGCCGGTTCAGATCCTGGAACATAGCACCACTCATCAAACCATGCTGAGGCCGCGGAAGGACCCACAATTAAAAATATATACAACTATGTACTGGGGGGCTTTGGGGAGAAAACGGAAAAATAAAATCTTAAAAGAAAAAAAAAAGACAATACACAGAATGGGAGAAAGTATTTGCAAATCATGTACCTGATAAAGGATTAATATCCAGAATATATAAAGAACTCTTACAACAACAACAAAATAACCCTTTAAAAAAGTGGGCAATGGACATGAATAGATATTTCTTCAAAGAAGATATACAAATGGCAAATAAGTAGATGGAAAGATGCTCAGCGTTACTAATTATTTGGGAACTGCAAGTCAAAACTACATTGAGATCTTCACACTCATTAGAATAGCTATGATAAACAAATAAACAAACAAATCTCAGAAAATAAGTGTTAGCAAGGATATGCAGAAATTGGAACCTTTGTGCACTGTTAGTAGGAATGTAAAAATGGTACAGCCACTCTGGAAAACAATATGGTATTTCCTCAAAAAAAATTAAACAGAATTACCATATGATCCAGCTAGTCCATTTCTGCATATATACCCAGAAGAACTGAAAGTTGGGACTCGAACAGGTATTTATTTGTACACCCATATTCACAGCAGCATTACCCAAGTGTCCATCAAAAGATGAATGGATAAACAAAATTGGTATATACATATAAGAGAATACTATTCAGCTTTAAAATGGAAGGAAATTCTGATACATGCTACACCACAGATGAACCTTGAAGACATTACGCTAACTAAAATAAGCCAGTTACAAAAAAACACAGCTCCTGGATGATTCTACTTATATGAGATTCCGTGGGAGTCAAACTCAGAGACAAAAAGTACAATGGTGGTTGTGAGGGGCTGGAGAAAAGGGGGAACTGGGGAGCTATTTTTTAGAGGGTTGAGAGTTTCTGATGCAGTGAAGAAAAGTTCTGGAGGTGCACGGTGGTGGTAGTTGCACAACAACGTGAATGAACTTAATGCTATTGAACTGTACCCTTAGAAATGGTTAAAATGGGCAATTTTATGTGTATTTTGCCACAATAAAAACTTTTTTCTTTTAATCTTGGAAGGTGGAGAGGAGGTAACAATTTAGCAAACTTGAGAAAGCTTAACCCTAAACTGGCTGAAGGGAAAGCAGAGAAGCAGTTAGTCTACAAAACACCCCAAAGGTTCAAGCAATAGAAGCAATGGGGACATTGGAAGTGGGGCTAAAGATGGGGTTAGAGACAGGACTGGTTGAAAATCTGTTTAAGGAGCGATGAGACAGCCAGACTCCCTCCCCAGCTGGAGAGGAGTTTTAGACTCTGATGGGTAAGAGAAAAAGTCTCTGGACCAGACGCCATCAGGCACTGTGGAAGGTAGGGGCACCCACTGAAAAACGGGGGCTACAGGGAAACTTACCTGCTGACTTTCGAGACCCCCCCCCGCAGCCTCTTTCCTCTGCCAAGCCCTAGAACACGGGCAGCCTGGCATGCACTCTTCAGCTGGGAGGTCAAGGAGAGTCCTTCTGACAACCCTGACCAGCTTAAGAGGAAAGACGGCAAGATCTCACATCTGGGTTTCCCCAAAGGAATGAGCCACGCCGACCACATGACAAGTGACGTCTACAGCAGACCAGCTCCAGTGTGTGCCCAGAGCCTCCAATCACCCTCGAGTGGAAAACCGCGCACTGACACTCAGTCCACTAAATCTGAGGAGGCCTCTTATGAGGGCCACTAACTACATTTGAAGCAAACAGTCTACGCAAGGAGAATAAAATAAAACTATCAATATCCTCAGGATGGACAATATCTTGATCCAAGAAACAAGAACAGGCCACTCTACAAAAGTTCAGAGAACAGAACACAGCTGTAAAATTAGAAATATAGGTTGAACCATATGAAACTGCCAGTATTTGACTGTTATTGAATTACATAAATAGCAGCTGCATTTGGTTCAACCTAACATGACAGCAGAAATGAAAAACTGACTACAGTCAGGCGTCACTTAACAACAGGGATATGTTCTGAGAAATGTGTCCTTAGGCAATTTCATTGTCGTGCAAACATCATAGAGCATACTTACGCAAACCTAGACAGTACAGCCTACTACACAGCTAGGCTATATGGCATAATCTCATGGGACCACTGCCGTATATGCAGTCCATTGTTGACTGAAACGTTATTATGTGGTGTGTGACCATATATGAATTGTGTGATCAAGTGGAGGAAAACTTCCAGAAAATAGAACAAAAAGACACAAAGGTGAAAAACAGGAGGAAAAAAAGGTATCAGAGGACTAGTGGAGAAAGAGAAACAGAATTTCCCAGAACTGCAGGACATACGTTTCCAGACTGAAAGAGTGAAAAGGCTCATATGCATGTGGTATGGGTGAATATACATTCAAACCAAGGCTCATCATCAAAAACTACAGGAAACCAGAGACAAAGAGAAAACAGATTCACTGAAGGACGAAGAATGAAATGGTTTTGGACTTTGACTCTGCAAGGCAGAAGAAAGAGGAGCAATGCCTCCCACTTTCTGAAACATTATGGTTCCCACACTAGGATTCTATATCCAGCTAAGCTATCAACTCAATGTGAGGGTATAATAAAACCATTTTTGGACATACAAGAAACAGAAGATGTCCTCCAGCAGATCAGAGATCCAAGAAAGAAGATATGAGACAAGGAAAGAGGGGACCCTACACAAGACACAGACCAATGAAATTCCCAGGACGGTGGGAGAAAGTCCCAGGATGGCAGCCATACAGCAGGCAGAGACAGCCAGTTCAAACACAGGCAGGAGCCCAGAAGGAGAAAACAGAAGGGGAGGAAAAGAAATCCAGAAGGGAGGGCTCTACAAAAACTGGTTGGGATCTAATGATTTTGTTTGGGGAAAGAATAGTATTCAAGTCTGTTGTAAAATCTGCTTAGAGACTAAGCAAACAAAAATGAGACAATTATTGACTCTAGGAAAAACAAAAAAAACTTTGCAAGAAAGGAAACTTACTCATGATATACTATTTGGCTCAACAATGGACAATACTTACACGGCCAGAATAAGGTAAATAATAGTGATGTAACCACAAATTGGAAAGATGGAGGGAAAAAAAAGAGGAGAGTAAGAGGATGTAAGAATAGCCATCCTTGTGTTCCACGTAGGAAGTTAATAAATACGGAATGTCTGAATGCAAAAAAAAAAAAAAATCAAGAAATAGCAATGTAGGCTCACAATTGGAAAATGTGCAAGAAAACGCTGGAAGAACTCAAGAGTTGAAGGTGGGGGCCTCCGGGGGTGGGGAGAGACAGGCAAAGAGCTGCCTTGGGCACCCAGTACATATTCCGACAATGAAATGCAACCTGGATAACTAGGCTAGACAAGCGCGACTTCACACTGTCACTAGACCAGATCCTCCAACCAATTCAAGGATCCTGAAACTGTCAACTGTCGACCATTTTGTGGCACAAACTCATTTTATCATTAACCCAACTAGTTATACCGATGGGAGGGGAAAACACTTTCAAAAGAAATGAATCTAGATGAGACTGGGCTTAGAGATTTGCCTCCATCTACTTCACAGTCTTAACAAGAATGTAGAGATCTATAGGTACTGAGACGAAAAGAAGACCTGAATGAATGAATTGTGGTGGAAAACAAAATGCAAAAGATGAGTTACACAAACACACATAGACATCATGGATTGCACTGCAGGGAAGGGGAGTATATATTGGGATCTCTGCCTCACATAGATAATAACTAAATTAGAACAAGTAAAAAGAGTTCATATAATACCAAGCATTTAGAACAAGATGCCACCCAAACCCTTCTCTGCAGGGCAGCCCCAGCATCAATTCAAGACCATGAGCTGAGCCTTGGGCTGGGATCCTGGTGAAACCTCACTTCTGCATGGCTCTCTGTTTTCTGCCTCCATGGGGTGGGACAACCCCCAGCATCAAAACTCCCTGAGAAGGAGGGATGGCTTCCTAGGCACCTAGTGCAGAATTATCTCATAGCACTCAAACCTCCCCACTCCCGCCTGACTGCGGCATGGTTAACAGGAAGGCGTTTATCTATCAGGCATGACCGTGGGATGCAAAGAGAGGCATACAACGAGACAGCATGTGAATCCTGATGAAGCAGAACATCAGACTGGACCGTGTCAAAAGCTAGTTTAAATGACGGAAGGGTGTCCTTTATTACTCGGTAATTTCTGGGGGGAAAAACATTTTTTTCTTTGGTTTTGTCCAAATCTTATATGCCCAATCCAACCATCCTAAGCTATCAGACCAAAACCAGGTTAGATGGGCTGAGCGTGGGCAGCATTGCCTCTGTCCACCTCAGTGACGGTCATGCCCCCAAGTCCTTAAGAACCGACTCCAGCCTCATCAGCAAGCGGAGGGAGAGAGGACTCCCTCACTGTCACTACGTAACAGACACATAACCATAAGGGCACCTAGTTTTGGGGTCGTCTTCTCCCCAAGAACAGGCCCCTTGATAGCAGGGTTAGGAGGAGTACACGGAACCAACAACAATGGCAGAAACCAAGCTGCTTGCTCCATCAGCTGAAGCCTGCTCAGCCTGGCCTTCCCTCACTGCCCACCACTCTCCCACACCCCGTTGCCAGGTGCAGGCCCGTCCACACCACCTGAAGCTTCCCTAGCCTGTATTTTGGGTCAGGAACCACTGCTATATGCTCTCAATGATACCAGCACTATTTTTTGGTAGCAATTATTACAAACCCAATATTTATTTAATGTATGTTTCCCCTCTAGATTAGGCTGTGTGTCTGTCTTGTTCACCGGTACGTCCTAGCACCTAACACTGTGACCTCCAATGAATGTGAAATTCCCAGCCTGTCCAACGGTGCTGGGCAGACGGGTGCCCCGACTGACCTGACAGGTTGATTTCGGTTAAGGAGTCTCGGGTGGTGGTGCCCACAGCAGTGAGCAGGTTGATGGACTGGTCGGTAACATGGTTACAGTAACTAAGGTGGAGCTTGGAGAGCAGGGGCATGTGGCGTATGATGAGCCGCAAGGAGGCGTCCGTGATGTCCAGACCTGCTAGACGCAGCTCCACGATGTTCCGGAGCTTGCTCCGATTGTCCATCTGACCTGAGGGGGCAGGCAGGAGAGGAGCAACATGTCAACCTGACTAGAGAGTTCTGATCACATTGACATGAAACTCTAAAAAGCCTACCAGCCAGATGTAACACTTGGGTTTCATTTAGCCATGAGTATTTCCCCCCAAAAATCAGAATTACTTCCAACATTTAAAAATCAGAAGATTCCACATCAAATTTTACACTTCTAGATTCTTGATAAATCAGAAGATCTAGAAACAGAGAGCCCACATTCTAACCAGCAGTACTTGGCCAACCAGAGCAGAGACAGCACGGCATCTCTGGATCACCACGGTTTCCTTATTTAAGCTACTGGCGAAGAGCAACAACCACCCCAACCCAACCTAGGAAGGCTCTGTCCTCCTGTAAGCCCCTGTCCAACCACACTGATCCCAACGTTAGTGAAGGCTTGAGGCCAGTGAAGGACAAATTAAGAGTAGTCAGATGCACACAGAGCCTCCAGGGTGGCATCTCGGGTGTGCAAAGGAGCCTCTGCCCTCTCTCAGATCACCTCTGTGCCTGAAACTGACTGAGAACACAACAGCTGGGCTCATCTCTGCACCCTCTAGAGAAGAGCTGAGGTCAGAGAAAGCTTGAGGATGTGCACCAGATGGGGTTTGAGTTGAAAACCAGATACAACAGCACAGCTGGGTCCCACCACCTCCATGTGACCCCCCTGGGCACACCCCGGGCCTGGCCTCTCACCTGGCCTGTTATCCGTGGGTGGGGACAGGAGATCCCGCATCTGGGCATCCTTTAGTCCTTCGACCCACTGGACATCCAGGGTCCGAAGCAAGGGACAACTGGAGCTACAGAGGGCTGAGACTGCGATCCACGAGCAACCCGACAGCACCAAGTCTCGGAGCCCTGGAGGGATAAAGAAGGGAGCAGCAGGTCAGGTAATGCACCCGAGCCCCCACTACTGCACATTTGGGGTCCCTGGCCCAGTGCTCACCAGGCAACCGGTTGATGAGCCAGCTCAGCTGTTTCTTGGAGATATTGGTCCAGCTGAGGTCCAGGGAGACAGGCTGTCGCCGAATGATGCCACTCAGCATCAGGGGCGTGATGGACTTGCAGTGGTTCAGGTCGATGCGGGTCCATAACCGCTTATCACAGCACCTGTGGGCCAGGCCCAGCAGAGGGGGCATTGTCAGAGCTGGAAGCTCACTTAGGGAGCCTCCTGCATGCCTGTGGTAACTCTCTGACGTACCAAGCTCAGGGGGAGGCTCCTTAACTCCACCCTCTGGACCCTTCTCTGTTTAGCTCTTGTCTTGCCTGCACCTGGGCACCTCTGCTCTGATTGCCATAGGGTCCCTGTGGAAGGTGCAGGCACTCGCTCTCCATTAAGCAGTTACTGGGAGCTTCATGTTGCTGACGCTGAAAGCTAAGCCACTGCTATTTCAAATACCAGCAGGGTCATCCACAGTGGAGAGGTTTCAGCAGAACTTCCAGAACACACAGACTAGGAAGAAGGACCTGGCCAGCCACTTCTGAAAAAATTGGCCAGGAAAACCCTATGAATAGCAGCGGAGCATTGTCTGGCACCGGAAGGTGAGAGGATGGCGCAAAAAAACCAGACAGGGCTCAGCTCTGCGGTCCACAAGGGTGCTAGGAAGTGCAAATGATTTGACCGCACCACCGACAGATTATTATGCCCTCTACACGCCGCATGTCAAAACCACCCTTTGAGGCAGGCATCGTGGCTGTTCACGGATGAGGGTAAGTAACTCGGCTGAGGCCGGAGCGCTGGGAAATATCAAAGCTGGGAGTGACACCAGAAACTGGCACTCTTGCTCTTAACCTTGGCTAATTCCTTAAGGAAAAGGACTCCACCCGGTCCTTAGTTCACCTTCCAAGGAGCTAAATCAGGAAAGCAAATAGGGTTCCCCTCTTCTGATAAGACCAGACTGACTGGATTGCTGGAGCCACCTGGAATTCTTTGAGGAAGATAATTAAAGCTGGACTGGACTTAAAAAGAAAGCATCATGAGTGACTCAGGTGGGGACACATGCCACCCCCGGTCTAGCCTAAGCCTTAGCCCAGAGCTTGACACAGGGCTGGTCCCTAAGTACGTCCCTGCCTGAGCTCAAGCAGCGCCCTCACCAGCGGTTCCAGGTCCTGCAGACCCGCATGCAGACACACAGGTCTTGGTGGCTGAGGTAGCTGAAGACGGCCATCCACACCTCCCTGTGCATGACGTGGGCCGCCCCATCATCCAGGGGCAGTGAGTCAGGTGGGGGGCTGATGGGGGGGGGCCGGATCACATGTCGCTCCATCTGGATGCACTTGGGCGGGGACACGGAGGGAGGGGGCCGGGAGATGACTCGGGGTGGGCTGCGCAGGCCAGGCCCCAGCTGGTGCCGCAGCTCCCGGGGCGTGCCGTTGAGCCCCTTGCTGAAGCGGTGAGGGCGCTCACAGAGGCCCAGGGGCCGCTTGGGCTCCTCATTCTCACTCTCGGGCTCCGACTTGATGGGCTGGTGGTTCTCGTTGGCCAGGCTATTCTCCGTCTTCTGGATTTCTTGGTTGAGCTCCTTGCTCAGCTCCTTGCTCAGCTCTTTGTTGGGGAGTCGCCGTTTCCGGCGTACCTTCACCTTCTTTTTCTCCTCTGGGCCCTCTGCCCCCTCGGTGCTGGGCCCGGCTGTGGGGGAGCTGGAGCGGGAGTGGTCGCTCTCCCTGGTCTTGGGGGGCGCCTCCGGCAGATCATCCTCTGGTTCCTGCTTGAAGCGCCGGAGAGGCTTGTTGGCCAGAGCCATCCGGTCCTCTGCGTTCTTCCAGGACCGCCGCTGGGGGTGGGGGGGTGGGGTGACAAGGGCAGGTAAGCCCCTAGGCTCAGCGCTGTTCCCACCTAGGCCTCCCCACCCTCTCCCTGACCCATTCCCAGGCCTGGGGTGAGAAGAGGGGAAAAGTGGGGAGGGGAAGCCAGTACCTTTTTCCTGAAAAGCTTATCTTCTTTGCCAGGTTTTAGCTGTCACAGGAAAGAAAGGATGCAGAGCTTGCTCCCAGGGTTGGTGAGATTTGGTCCCCTCTACACCCAACCCCACCATGAATCCACAGTCTCTAGTGTAGGGGCTGGAGGGTCACCTTCCCCGCAAATCCCATCTCCTCTGCTTTGACTGAGAGACGGGTAGGCCTTGCCTGCTGGTTTTAAGGAAAAAGCTGGAAGTGGAGGAGAGTGATCGAATTGTTCCCACCCAACTGACCTCCCCCTTGGTCAGACCCAGACATATGCAGTCGCCCATTCAGGTCAGACTTGGCCCTGGGAGCTAGTCCTGGAGGCAGGGCCTGCGGGATTCCCAGCCCAGCCTTAATGGCTAGAGCTGGGAAAAGATAACCGGGCGCCACCTCGTGGCTGATGCTGGAAGGGCCGGTGGGCGGAGCGGGGCCGCCGGGATCCTCCGAGGTTCCCCAGATCCAAAGGGCTTCCCCGCGGCAGCTTCAGCTTCCCAGGCCCCACGCCAGAATCACGAGCAAGCGATCTGGGACTGAGGCCTGGGAAGCTCCAGTGAAGAGGTGCCTCCCGGCGGCTGCGGCAACGGGTTGGAGGACCAGTGGGGCGGGGGGGGGGGGGGGGGGGGGGGGGGGGGGGGGGGGGGGGGCGCCTGGGACTCGCAAGTCCCCGGGGCCTCCGGAGGGCGGGGCGACGTGGGAGCACCTGCTGCTGGAAGTAAGTGAGACTGGATCTCCACCAAGGGCTGAGGCTGCTGCCTAGAGGGGGCCTCGGCGAGAGGTGAGAGGAGGAACCGGGGGACGTTTGAAGCGTCGAGGCCTAAAGGGGTGGGAAAAGGAGTGACTCGCTGGTTTTCCCTCCTTTCCTTTGGGCCGAGCTCTCAGGACTTAGGTGACATGCTCAGGGCAGCCAGAGGCCAGAGTTCTCCCTGCTGCCCGTCCCGCCCCCGCCCCCGCCCAGGCATACCCAGGACCAGCCAGGCCACCCCTCACCATCAGCCCCTCCCAGTCCGTACTCGCTTGCGGCCACTCAGCTCTTGGGGCTTCTCGTATTTCCGTTTCCTCCGCAGGTGCACGTCGTCCGACTTTCGGCGCAGGATACCGTCAGGGGGCACCTTCTTGGGGTGCTCGTCTGACCTGCGCCGGGGCGCCTCCTCACACTCACTCCTCCGCTTGGCAGGCTCCTGTCCTTCCTTGTTGTCCCGGTTCATCTTCTGCTCCTTGAGCAGGGAGCCGGGCAGGTTTGAGGCATACTTAAAGCCAGGGCCACGCTTTTGCTTGTAGGCCAAAAAGAGAGAAGGGAAAAACAAACTGTATATCTTTGGACTTGCCCTTTCCCCCGAGCCCGCAGCACCCCACCAGCCGACAATGCCAGGACAGGCTGGGTCTGGCAAGGCCAAGGTCCGCCCCTCCCGGGCTGACCCCTGGGACTTGGAGCGCGGCACTCACTTTCCCGGTCTTGCCGGCATGGTTACACTTTGGACACTCCCAGCAGTTTGGAAGCTCATCGTTGACCACGCCCTCTGACTCCTTAATCTGCAGGGACACGCGCCAGTCAGCAAGCAGGGAGGGGGCTGAAGAGGTCACCTCTGCCAGGAACATCAACACCCCCTCCCAAATGCCATTTCCATGCCATCTTTGGCCAAAAGAAAACAAGAGTGGTTAAGACAGGTGGCTCTGAATTCAGGCCAGGGTTCAAATCCTGATTTTCTAGCTCAGTAATCCTGGGCAAGTCATTCCATCCCCGTGGACCCGTGCCCTTGTCCATGGAATGGAGTCTGCCTATCTCACTGGAGTTCTGCCAGAATTCAACGTGATCACCTAGGCAAAGCAATTAGCTCAGGGCCTGGCACCCAGAAAGGACCCAATAAACTGCACTGAACTGGGTGCAAGCAACTGGGTGTGAGCAAGTAAGGTGTGCTTGCCCCTGCCCTCTTGGAACTTCTGACCTGGGAGAGAGAGAAGTCACCAGGCGATTAAGACATGAAAGTCTGACTTCCAAAGCCAGGGAAAAATCATAGCACTCCCTTCAGAGTGGGAGGTGTGTGTGTAGAGGAGTGAGCATCAGAACAAACCCCTACCACCCCACAGAGCGAAGGGGATACTGCAGAGCTGAAGCACGGTGTGGGGCGGGGCCCACCCTGATCTCTCTAAAACACAGATGCACACAGGCTGACACCTGGGCTGACAGGGATGCGGCAGGTATGATGACATTCCCTAGGGACAGAAGGTATGTGCCAGGCCAGAGCAGTTTCTTCCTTTCAAAGGTGGAACCTGCTGTCTAAGACAGGCAGGCACAGCATGGCAGTCCCAAAGAGAAGGCAGCCCTGCCTTGGGCACACACAAGAACAGGAATGCAACTACCTGTTGCTACAGGACCTGCCCTCCCTTGGCCCAGGCCTTGTTTTCCCAGGAGCCCCGAGCCAGGAATCCAGTGAAGAGCCCAACCACCCGGTCTCTCCTTCTGGGAACTCTCTGTGGTTCTGCAATTTTGGGAGGGGGGGGGAGGTGTGTTCATTCCCTCAAAGACACAGGTGGAAGGTCTGAGCTACTCCAGACTTTTCTTGCCCTTGGCTCATCGTCTGACACACAGAATACTCCAGACTAGGGGGTCCTCCAGGGAAGGAATCCAAGCGCAGCCACCAATCTCCCCCCAGCATCAATACCATCAGAGGCCATGGGTAGGGGTGTCAGGCAGCACAGCCAGATCCCTTAGGGGCCACTCACCTTAAGGCATCCAGGGTGGATGATTTCATTGCAGATGGAGCACTCCATGAGCATGAGGTTAAACTTGCCTTCTTCCTCTTCCACCGTGTCCTCCTTCCCTGCCTCGCCACATACTAGGCACACGGCGGTGTGGGGCAGCACTGGCTGGGGAGCAGGGAAGAGCAAAGAGAAGTCAGCAGGGGCCAGGAGCTCCGTGGGGAATGGGTCAAAGGCAATGAGCTGCTCTCCTCCAGCCTTCCAGGAGACGGCAAAGAACCAACCCAGGCACTGCCCTTCATTCATTCATATACTTCTCAGGCTACTATCTCCGTGTGCCAAGTACTAGTCTAAGTGCTGGAAATATAGCAATGCATAAGATAGATACAAACCTCTGCCATCGTGAGCTTACATTTTAGTGGAGGCAGACAAAATGAAGAACAATACAACGTATTAGACAGTGAAAAGGGATATGGAGAAAAACAAAGCAAAGAGGGCCAGGGTCAGAGGTGAGGGGTGGAAGGGGGGCTAATTTGAAATGTAGAAGATGGGGACTTCATATTTGAGGAAAGACCCGAAGGAGGTGGGGCGTGAGCTGAGCCCAGACCAGTGTGGGGCTGAGGCTGCATCTCACCAGCAGGTATCAAAGCATAGACTGTGGGCTCCGGGGTCCCCAAGATCTTTACAGGGGAGGTCTGGGAGGTTAAATCTATTTTCAGAATAATTCTGAGACTTCATTTGCCTTTTTCTTTGTGTTAACATTTGGTCTGGTGGGTGAAACCGCTGGCACATGTCAGGGCAGGGGCTCCACAGCACACTGGCAGTCACTGGCCACACACTTATTAAAAAGATTACCAGCTTCATTTAAGAATATCTTTGATGAAGCAGTAAAAATTATTAATTTTATTAAAACTCTGACCCTTGAGTACATGTCCTTTTAATACTCTGTGTGACAAAATAGGAAGTATGTATAAAGTACTTCTGCTATATACCACAGGACGATGGTTATCTAAATGGAAAGCGCTCACGTGACCAAGTAGTGAGCTGAATTGGCCACTTTCTCCATAGAACATCATTTTATTTGAAACAATGACTGATTAAAGAAAAAAAACTCATGGGTATTTGCATATTTTCTCAAAGACAAACAAGTGAGCTTGTCAGTTCCAGAAAAATAATTTATGGTATTTGTTACAAATAACAAAATTTGAACTTTCAAACAAAAATCAGAATTTTGGAAAACTTACATTAGCCATCACAAACTGGACAGCTTCCAAGGAATACTGAAAGACTTTTCTGACGAGATTGGTGGAGGTATTAACAAACATGGTGGTTGTTTTTTTTTTTACATTGTATAACGCTATGTGCCAATATTTGGAAAATCTGTATAACTCATGAGCCAGTATTTTCCAAATGATGAATGCATGATGTTACAACATCACAGAGGAGCCAATGAGCTATTCCAGGGGCAAGAAAGACTAATGGGTTTTAATGTAACAGGATGCAAAGTCCGTTGATACAGTTTCAGATTCCACATTGCAACTAACCTTTAAGAAACTGCCACCTGTTGAGTTCTGGTGGAGTATCAGAGAAAAATACCCACGGATATCTGAAGAGCCTATTAAAATACTCCTCCCTTTTCCATCTATCTATCTGTGTGAGGCCAGATTTTCCTCATATAGTTCCTCCTAAACAACATATCACAAGAGAATAAGAGAAGCAGCTACGAAAATCTAAGTCTTTTCGAATGAACCAGATAAAAAAGAGATTTACAAAAACATCAACAATGCCATTCTTCCTATTAATCATTTTTGTTTTGGAGGATGTAGTTATTTCTCATAAAACTGTTACTTATGCTAACATGTAGTGGGTTTCCTGTTATTTTTAAATGCATTAAAAATATTTTTTAAATTTCTCAGTTTTAATTTTGAATACAGTAATATTAATAAATAACCCACACAGGGGCCGGCCCCATGGCCGAGTGGTTAAGTTTGCACGCTCTGCTTCAGCAGCCCAGGGTTTCACCAGTTCGAATCCTGGGCGTGGACAGAGCCCCGCTCATCAGGCCATGCTGAGGTGGCATCCCACATGCCACAGCTAGAAATACACAACTATGTACCAGGGGGCATTGGGAGAAAAAGGAAAAATAAAATCTTTAAAAAATAAATAAATAAAAATAACCAACATAGACAAAAGCTCTTTGAGGTCCTCCTGATTTTTAAGACGGTACTGAGATCACAGTTTAGAACTGATGGCCTAGGCCATACACTCCTTGAGGACGGGCCAGGCCACCTGGGGCAGGGGAGCACGGGGAGACTGAAGCTGGGGGTGCTGGGTGGGGAACACCCAGAGGCCAGAAGACGGTCTGTGACGGGGAGTGGTGGGTGGGCAGGGGTCGGAGACTGACTGAAACAGGTGAGGAGAGGCAGAAGCAGAGGTCAAGCTACTGCAGAGGAAACCGAGGTCTCGGCTAGCAGGCAGATGGCGCTGGACAGTGGGAAGGGATAAAGTCTGGGAAGGAAGCCTCTTGGAGGGGGCAGAGGGAAGGCTGGTTATGAGAAGAGGGAGACCCCAGCACATCAAGAGATAAGGGCCTGGAAAAGGAATAGAGGTGGACCTACATGTGTCAGGTGGATAAAATGTGGCAGGAAGAGCCCTAACAAAGTGGAAAGGCCAGCAGAGGAGTAAGGAACCAAGGGTCAGGCCAAGTCTGCATTTGCCATCAGGTCCAGAAGCCATGTCAAGTTGGAGAGAGGAGACATACGAAAGTGAGGTTCCCTTCGACCAACACTCACTGTGCCAGGCACCGGCCTAGGCACCAGAGATGCAAAGAACAGGGGACAGCAGAGACAGGTTTCCTATAACTGGGCCTGAGACACTAGGGAAGATAGAGGGGCTGGAAGAGAACATAAAGCTAAAGAGGAGACAGTTCTGGGTTACTGAAAAATGCCACGTTTTAGGTGACACTGTTCTCAAAATCAACAGTCCCTACAGACGACCTCTCTTAAATCCTGACAAAATGCAATGGGTCACCCGGACCCTCGCTCCAGAAAAATGCACATGAACACATGCGCACAGAGAAAACTCTGTATGTAATTTCAAGGGGGCTTTCAAATTCCCTGAAATCTATTCAAATGACCTGGGGTACAAGTAACAACTAAAAACACAAGGAGTGAAACTCACAAACTTCTGCACAGTAAAGGAAACAGAGTAAAAAGGCAACCTACAGAATGGGAGAAAATATGTACAGGCCATATATCTGATAAGGGGTTAATTATCCAGAACATATGAAGAACTCCTAGAGCTCAACAACAAAAATGCAAACAACTCAATTAAGAAATGGGCAAATGACGTCAAGAGACATTTCTCCAAGGAAGACATACAAATGGCCAACAAACATATGAAAAGATGTTGAACATCATTAATGTCAGCCAGATGTAAATCAAAATCATAAGGAGCTATCACTTCACACCCATTCGGATGGCCAATATCAAAAAACAGAAAATAACAAGTGTTGGCAAGGGTGTGGAGAAACTGGAATCCTTGTGCACCGTGGGTGGGAATGTAAAATGGAGCACCCTCTGTGGAAAATAGTATGAAGGTTCCTCAAACAATTAAAAAGAGAACTACCATGTGATCCAGCAATCCAACTCCTGAGTATAAACACAAAAGAATTCAAAACAGTGTCTCAAAGAGATATTGGGCACACTGATGTTCACTGCAGCATTATTCACAATAGTCAAGAGGTGGAAGCAATTTAAATGTCCGTTAACAGAGGAACTGATGAAGAAAATGGAGTATTTTACATACAATGGAATATTATTCAGCCCTTAAAAAGAAGGAAATCCTGTCACCTGCTACAACATGGATGAACCTTGAGAACATCATGCTAAGTGAAATAAGCCAGTCACAGAAGGAGAAATACTGCATGATTCCACTCATATAAGGCGTCTAAAAGAGTCACACTTAGAAACAGAGAGTGCAGTAGAAAGGTGCTGACAGGGGCTGGGGGGAGGGCAAGAGGAGCTGCTGTTCACTGGACATAGAGTTTCCACTTGGCAAGATGAAGAAGTTCTAGAGATCGGTTTGCACGACAACGAGCATATAGGTAGTACTACCGTACTGCACACTTAAAAACGGCTACGACGGTAAATTCTATGTTACGTGTTTCTGACCACAATTAGAAAAAAAAAAGGAAAAACAAAAACACCAGCAGTGTCTGCGTGGAGGGAGAGGCGGAAGGTGCCCCTGGGCTTGGAGGGGCAGCAGCGGCCAGGGAGAGTCTCACCCAACGCCAGGCTGGGCCTGCGGGGAAGCTCATCCCGGGTCAAGGGTCTGTCCCTCCTGCAGTGGCTGCTTTCCCATGGGAGAACGGAGATCACTATTCCCACAGGGAGGACCCTGGGGCTCCTGTGAGCAGTGCCTTAGGGAAGGCAGAGTGGGTGGGTGTGTGCAGGTGGAAGCACAGGCAGATGCCGGGACCATGCCAAGTCACCCGTCTGCATCCACTGCCGGTCCTGGGGCAAAGCCAGATATAAGGCTGTCTGCAGGGGTTGGCCAGCCTCTCCAGGAGGCCAGCTCCTGGGCTCCATAAATCAGTCCTCCTTATCTGGGGCAGTCCCCTCAGGAGGGCTACTGACCTTCCACCCAGACCTCTGACTTTGAAGGCAGGACAGGAAGGAAGGGAGGGCCTAGAACCGTCGTGAACTGGACCATAAATGTTGGCAACGGGGTCACAGACAGGACAAGCTGCCCTAACATCTTTAATGGCAGAGACTTCAAAGTACTCGGTCATCTAGGGAAGGAAGGAGTTCTAAGACCATCAGACTATCAAGAAAAAGGAGCCTGAGCACATGGCAGGACTGCCCCAGGACCTGCAACGTGGAATATGAAAACAGTACGAGTCGGAGCCCCCTTTCTGGGCAGACCAACAAGCAGATGAACAAACCAGCCTGGTGCAGAGGAAGGTGGGGTCTGGATTCAGGGGAGGGCCAGGGTCTGGGAGGAAGGAAGCGCTGCCACCTCCACTCCCGGGGGTGTAGAAGCGTGGGACCCTGCCGCATGCGGCACCCTTCTCAGGAAGGGGTGCCCCTCCGCTGCACTCACCGCGATGCACTGCCGCATAATGCAGCTCTGCTTCATCCGCCCGGGGCCCCCGAACTTCTTCATGTCCTTGCAGAAGTGGCACTCTCCGCACTCCGTCCGCAGGCAGGCCTCGCACTTGCGGCATCGCGTCCGGCGCCGGCGAGCTCCCGCCGTCGTCCGGTTGGCGGCCAACTTCACCGCGGAGGCCGGGCCCAGCTTCCCCTTGGGCCGACCTACCGCCCGGTTCTGCAGGAGAACACACAGGACGGTGAAACGGGAGGCTGCAGGGCTGGCCATACCCCAGGAGAGGGTGTTAGGGGTTGAACTGTGCCCCTCAAAAAGATATGTTGAAGTCCTAACCCCAGTACTTCAGAATGTGACCCCATTTGAAAATAGGGTCTTTATAGAAGTAACCAAATTAAAATAAGGTCATTAGGGGTAGGCCCTAATCCAATATGACTGGAGTTCTTATGAAAGGGGGAAATTTGGACACAGGCACAGAGGGATGGAATGTGAAGACACAGGGAGAGGATGGCCATGAGACTGGAGTGATGCATTCTACAAGCCAAGAAATGCCAAGGAAGTTAGCAAACACCAGAAGCTGGAAGAGGCAAGGCAGACTCCTTCCCTAGAGACCTCAGAGGATGCAGGGCCCCGCTGATGCCTTGATTTCAGACTGGTGGGCTCCAGAACTACGAGAGAACACGTTTCTGCTGTTTTAAGCCAGCCAGTTTGTGGTACTTCATTATGGCAGCCCAGGAAACCGACACAGAGGCACCTCTGCTCCTGATGGCAGCATGCTCTGGCTCAAGACCCCTCCGTGGCCCCCACACCTCAGGCCAGGCTCTGCTACCTGTGCTTCCCTGGAGAGGACCCAGTTGACACACTGCTTTCTTCTGGCAGCCCTCCCTGACCACCCTGCACTGGGTTCGGGGTGCCTCTTGTGGGCCCCCATCACAGCACTTATCACAACTGTCAGTTCTCCCGTGGCTCTTCCCTTTAACAGGGAGCTCAGCAAGGCAGTTATCAAGGGTGTCTTGTCACCACTGCCTCTCAACAAGGCGGCTGGCACATAGCATGTGTTCAATAAACCAAACAAACCCCAAGAGATGAGACAGTAACCTTAAGGAAACTTGACTTCTGAAACCTTCTCTAAATGGGATCCAAAAGCTTCTTTCTTTGTGACTCAAAGGAAAACAGAGATAGGCAGGTGAACAGAAAGTGATGCTAAATGCCAAACAGAGGATGCCAACAACAGGTCCTGCCCTGAGGTTCTTACATCCTGGCCACCAGCTCCAGAGCCTCTTGCAAACAAGGATCTGTGGTGGAGCTCCTGGGCCAGCTGTTGAGGATGCTGCCGGGGTCCCACATGCACCGGGGATCTGAAGTGGGAAGGACCAGGATGGTCGAGTGTGTCTTGTCTGAAGCACCTTTATGAGCAGCACGAGTCTGCTGAGAAATGGTTTGTTCATCTGTCAGGGAGACACACTACTCCCCTCAAAACTATCTGAGCTAATTGGCATCTAACGCTGAAAGCCCTTCTCAGCCAGTTCAACAACCTTCAGTCTAGGTCCAGCTTTTTAATTTTAGTTGCTTGTCAGACTCAGATCCCTAAACAAAATCCCAATCCTCTTGTTAGCTCCTGGGCCCAGACGTGTGGTTACTATGTACCGTAACAGTGAGGAGGGCCCTCCTGCCAGGAGGGCAACACCACAGGGGCTGCCGAGAAACTTATAACCACATCAGGAAGAAAAACAGTCCACCTTTTCCCGTGAATAAAGCCTCATCGTCATCCATTTTCTTCTGCAGTGCAGTGGGCCCTGCGGAAAAATCTCACAGACCCTGTCCCACACACACCTTTTGAAACTGACCCCTAAGTGGATCCTTCCCTCAGATTTATTTTCCCGACAGCCTGCAGCATTCAAGGAAACTGCAAAGTCTCTGGTGGCTGAGGTGCCCACCTCAGGAAGCTGGGCTGCCCTGGACCTTTATCCCGCTCAACTTGCTCTGCCCTCCAAGGAGGAGAGGGAGACGCGAGAGCCGGCTTCACTGGTCCATCTGTCCTCACCTCCCCCTGCCCTGACCCCATCGCTCCCACAAAGCCACTCCAGACTCACTCAGTCATGCCCACCCTCACCTCTGGGGCAGGCCAGCCCGCGGCCTTGTCATCAGGGAGGGCCCCATGGGCAGGCCTACACACCAACCAGCTGCCTGGGGGAAGGGGCTGCTCCAACACCAGTTATTCTTCCTTCAAGCAATGAAGGGTCTCACAGGCCTCCTCATACCAGTCCTTATACAACAGTGAGGTCTGGGGTGCCCCTTGTCATGCAGCAATAACACCTTAAGCGTGATAAATCGGCCCACACATCATGTACGTCAGTTCAGGCCAGGTCTTGCTGCCAGATGAGTAATGAAAAAAAAAGAGAACAGTTTTCAGAGCCTTTGGATTTGAGAATGGCACATAAGGGACCGCTGGACTTGAAAACTCAGCAGCTGACCAAAGAGCAGCAAGGAGAGCCGGGTGGAGGCAACAACGACGAGGACGGTGACAGCAGTGAAGGTGGCTATTCGCTGAGTGCCTGCTGTTGTACTCATCATTTTACATGACATTACCTATTTTCCCAGTAATAACCCTAAGAGAGACATCACTTTTCAGATGAGGAAAGTGGAGCCAGAGGTTGAATGACTGGCCCAAGGTCAAGAAGGCGGCAGAGGATGTGCACACCCCCAAAGGGCATTCTGAACACTGTGAACCACAGTGATGTGCGGACAAGGAGGGCAAGAGTCCCTGAGAGTCCACAGAACTGACCCCACGCCCTGGGACGGTTCACAGCCAGGGCCTCGACACCCTGTGTGACGGGTGCCAACAGGAGGGGCAGAGAAGCACACCTACTTCCAGAGAAATGGAAATCAGGAAGGTTTCTGCCTCTCTTCACAGCCCGAAGACTTTCTGATAAAGATCACATGTCCTATTACCGATTCACTCCGCAAACGCCTGAAACACGGGCAACAAGGCTGGCGCTTCAAAGCCTCGAGTCAGGTAAAGAGAGAGCAGCGCACGGTCCAGCCTCCAAGGACAAAAGCAGAGGCGAAGGGCTCACACTCTGACCCTGGAGCAGGAGACTCCAAGGACTAGCTTCTTTGGTGAAAGACTGAAAAGAAAATTCCAGGAGTCCAAACACAGCTCTTCCCTCCCCCTCAGGAACGTCAGGTATAAATAGCCACTGGGCACCTCTGGACTTGTTGGCCATGAGGATAGTGTCTCTCAGAAGGAAAAACGGTGGGCCGATCCAGCCAGGGTCACAAAGCTTGTATGTGACTGTGGAACAAGCCCACGTCCCTGTGCTTTCCAAAACGCACTCCCAACCTATGGAAAGAAAGAAATCTGCCTGGATCTCAATGGCAGCTAAGACATCCCGGAAAAATGACAGAGCAAATGACAGACAGCGCCTCAAAAGAAGAGGTGTAAGGAGCTGCTGTTTCCGAAGACCTTGATTCAGGCCCTCTCCAGCCAGCTGCCAAATCCAGCTAGGAAAGCTGCCACCGCCTGCAGTTCACGAGCCAGCATTTGTAGAAGTGTGCACAAGCTGGCTTGTTAGGAGTCAACTGAGCAACACCTGAAATGCAGGATCCTAATAAAGACCGCTGAGAAAATCAACAGGTAAGAAAGACATCAGAGAGTCTCTACTAGGGAAGGTGAACAAGCCTCTCAATTTGGCAAGAAAATTCTGTCCTAATCTCTTTTGGGTGACATCTAAAAGTTTACAAACCAATACTAGATTTTACTCTATCCTACCCTTGCCTCTATTTGTTTAAGTAACCAAGAACGCCTCTTAGCATGAAATGTTCTCAGCAAAAGGCAGTGAGGGCATCCAACTTCTGTTTAGAACTGCAGGCCACCTGTTGATTTCTCAGTCCAGGATCCATATCCTCAGCTCTATCTGGTTAGGAAAAGCTAGAGTTCATATGCCCACACACCCAAATCTTAGTATTCCAACATCCTTTTTCCATCAGCAACTCATAAGTAATATGCTTACAAGAAATACTATTAAGGTAGTTCTCTCATTCATTCATTCCACAAATACTGAGTACCTCCTATCAGATCCTCCTCTCCAGAATATTCATGGGCAGAAACTCTTCAATCCCTCATCTCTAAAATACTTGGATAAACCTAAATGACTGGAAAGACATCCCATGTTCATGAATTGAAAAGACTTAATATCGTTAAGATGGCAATACTCCCCAAAGTGATCTATACAGATTCACTGCAATCGCTACTGAAATCCCAGCTGGCTTTTTTGCAGAAACTGACAAGCTGATCCTAAAATTCAAGTGAAAATGCAAGGGACCTGAAATAGCCAAAATAATCTTGAAAATGAAGAACAAAGTGGGAGCACTCACACCTCCTGATTTTTCAAAACTTACAACAAAGCTGAAATAAACAAGACAGTGTGGTCCTGGCATAAGGACAGACAAATAGATCAATGGAATAGAATTGATAGTTCAGAAATAAATCCTCACAATATTTATGATCAACTGATTTTCGACAAGGGTCAACACAATTCAGTGAAGGAATGAACAGTCTTTTCAGCAAATGGTGTGGGGACAAATGGATAGCCACATGCAAAAGAATGAAGTTGGACCTCTACCTCACAGTATAAACAAAAATTAACTCAAAAATGGATCAAAGACCTAAATGTAAGAGCTAAAACTATGAAACTCTTAGAAGAAAACATAAGAGTTATCATGACCTTGGATCAGGCAATGGTTTCTGGGATTTGACACCAAAAACACAGACTATAAAAGAAAAAAAGATAAGCTGGACTTCAAAATTAAAACTTTTTGTGCTTAAAAGGGCACTATCAAGTGTAAACGACCACAGAATGGGAGAAAATATTTACAAATCATACATCTGGTAAGCGTCTAGTATCCAGAATATATAAAGAACTCTAACAACTCAACAATAAAAAGACAAGTATTCCCAATTTTAGAATGGGTAAAGGATTTAAACAAATATTTCTCCAAAAAAGATATACAAGTGGGCAATAAGCACATGAAAAGATGCTCATTACCACTAGCCAATCAAGTATATGATCCACACTGGAGACTCATTCATTAACTCTCTCACCCACAAAATTCACTCACCCACATACCCACCCCAGTGTTTTCTGGCTGTGAATTATGTACCAGATTCAATGCTAGGTGCAGGGACTACACCTCTGTTGTCTGTGTTCCCTACGCTCAAA